TAAAATTAGAGCTAAAAGGTTTAGGATATCTTCTAAGTTGGACTATCTCAGCACCACACAGAACTTTAAAATATTAACCATGTATTAGGGCACAGAGATATTGCAAACAAATGTAAAAAGACAAATGGTAAATACATCCTTTGCAGACATAGTAACATAAAAACAGCAGTTGGTTAAGGGATCACAAATGAAAGACACACACCCAAATAGAGACTTATTGAAATCCTAAATAAGGGAATCAAAGAACAAATCATTTAAACAATTAATAATTATGTGAAAGAAAATGATAAAATGATGAAACAACATAGCAAAATTGCTGGGATGAAGCTAAAGCAGTCCTGGGGGGATGTGAATCATATTATTATAAATGCTGTTGTTCAGTTGTCTCTGACTCTACATGACCCCATGGATCATACTGTCCATGGGGTTTTCTTGGCAAAGATACTGGAGTGGTTTGTCATTTCCTTCTCCAGTGGATTAAAGCAAACAAAGGCTAAGTGACTTGCCCAGGCTCATACAGTTAGTTATTGTCTGAGGCCAGCTTTGAACTCAGGTCTTCCTAACTCCAGGCTCAGCATGCTACCCATTGAGCTATGAAACATATGTTCAAAGAGATGATTAATAAAAGTAAATGTGCATTTTTTAAAATTAGAAATCAAATGATCCACTTGGTAGAAGAATGGGAAGTAAAATAGTTGAACAAGTAAATTTCCTCCATGGTAGATTAGAGAGAACAGTTGTGGGCTGCAGCTCAATCTTTTGGCCAACCATGGTCAGCTCTCTGCTCCAGTCACTGGGATCCACTCAGATCTCTCTGCCTCCTGAACTTTCTACTACATTAGGTCTCAGTTCCTATTGATCTACCTGCTTTTTGACACAAGAGTAACACCTAGTTCCCCAAAGCCTTGCTAGATGTAAGGAAGCAACATTGGGGACTACTGCAGTTCACATTCCTTCTCTTGATTTTGTGGATTCTCAGCTTCTTGGTCACTTGGCTTCTTGGTGGAAGAAAGTTCCTCAAGGCAAAAAGTCCCAGATAATGAAGGAACTCTGTGTAATGCCAGTGCCAATAAGATTCCCACGTCATCAAGTCTCTATGGCAATGTTGTTGAGGGGTGGGGAGAAGGATACAGGATCTCTAAAGATCTTATGGTGTATTAAATCCTAAAAGAGGGTTTAGGTAGTATCTGTTTTCATTTCCCCTGAAAGTCCATCCTTTTCTTGGTCCACAGATCCACAGTAATTATCACCATAAAGCTCCCCCATTTGTGGTTTGTGATTGCAAGCATTGTACCTTTTGGGGTGCCTTCTCTTTTTCTCCTAAGTCCCCTGCAGCATTTTTCCTCTTCTCGCCATAAGAAGTCTCCTGGTTCATCTCCTCTCTGAATAAAAAGAGCTAGGCTTATTCCTCTTGCATCAACCATGACTAAAGCTTGACTAAAGGGATCCATTAGACCTTAATCATAAAATCATAAAGGTTCAGAGCTGAACGTGGCCTTAAAAATTATTTTATCTACCCTCATCGCCACCATGCAGTTTTATATGGGAAGAAACAGATCTAGAGGTGAAGTAACTTGTTCATCTTCACACAGTTAGCGGTAGAGTCAGGACTAGAACCTAGATATCCTTGACTTCCAGACCAAGGGGCTTGTCACTACTTATATCTCCCCAGTATTTTCTGTTTGTTTTTTAATATCCCAATTCTGGTACATTTTTGTTTTTTCCTTACATCCTCATATCTCTTGTATAGTGGTCATAGATAGAAAGGGCTAGAGAATCAGGTATGGGTTGAATCTCGATCCTGAACTTTGTTTTTTAATTATTTAAGACCAAGAACTGAATCATACCTCTGCTAACCAGGAACATTAATTTCATCATTTACTCATAAGGGTACCATCAACTAATTATCATTGCTAATTATAACAAGGCTCACTGATCAATTTAATCATCAATAACCACTATTTAGGGATATGAAGACAGTAAATGTGGAATTTTTAGTCCTGTTTAGTCGAACTTTCCTTCGCTGCTTGGCAACAGACAAGATAGACAAGAATACAACTATTTCAAACTTAATCACTTCAGAAAAATGACAGCATCATTCAATAATGCAGTGTTCTAGGCTGCTCAGCGATGATTTATATTTTTATCTATGTGTCACATCCAGGGCCCCGGGAATATTTATATGATCTAGTGCCAATTTCTTAGTGAAAGAGAAGTTATTATATAACTTAAAAAATAATAACCTTTTCCTTAAAAGTCTGGCATTTGTACATGAAAATTCAGACTACAAAATTGATCTGATCTGTCTCCCCCTAGCTAATACCATTGTGCCCAAATCATAGCAAGATTTATATGTATACGTTGAGTGAATGATTTCTGCAAAACTGTAGAATCTGTTGGAATTTGAACCACATTACACTCCATTTCCCATCTTTGTTCATCTGTATTGGCTATTCCCCTCCTCCATCTCTGGAATTCACTTCCTCCTCATCTCTGTCTTAGAATCTATAGTTTCCATTAGAGCTCAAGTACCACTTTCTACCTGAACAACCTTTCTGATCCTTTCTTCCCCAGTGTTGGTGTCTTCCACCCAAAATCACCTATTTTGTATATAGACAGATACATACATGCATATATACATATAGTTTCTTGAGGGCAGGGACTGTTTTCACTTTTGTCTTTATATTCCCATTGCTTAGCACAGTGGTTGGCACATAGCATGTACTTAATAAATGCTTATTAATTGGTTGATTACACCGGTTTTGTAAATGGCAGCCAACCCAAAAATAGGAACAGAAAATTCTTATAGGTCTTTCAAGGGCCAATTAAAATGACACTGAAGAGGAAAGCTGATATTCTATTTACTGTTTATTTGGTTTGAAACTGAACTGAAAATTAGAAATTAGCATGGTAGTTCTTAAGAAAAGGAAACCTGCATCACATAAAAAGATTGCCTCTGTTGAAGATAAAGAACCTTAGATTGACTCTATTACTGATTTGGAATTTATTTACCTTGTATTTTGGTTACTTCAATTACTAAGTATCTTAACAGTTTAAGAATATTGCTACTTCTATAAAATTCATATAACTTTACACTTATTGCAGCTAAGAGGACTTTCATGGTTCCTTGCCCTCCCTATGTTCCTCCTTTCCTGATATATATAGGTATATACCTGTATCTTGTACCTAAATAGTTCTTTGCATGTTTTCTCCCCCAATAGCATGCGAACTCCTTGAAGGCAGAGGCTGTTCTTGCTTCTTGGTATCCCTATTTTAGCACAGTTCATTAGTACATAGGGCTTAATAAATGCTTTTTGATGATCATGATAGTTTTTTTTTAAATGAGGCAATCAGGGTTAAGTGACTTGCCCAGGGTCACACAGTGTCTGAGGCCGGTTTTGAACTGAGATCCTCCTTACTCAAGGGCCAGTACTCTATCCACTGAGCCACCTAGCTTCCCATGATATTTATTTTAACTGCATTAATCCTTGATTTCTATGACATAAAATCCCTTCAACCAAAACAGATCAGCAACTGTTGTGCAATTTATAGTCAGTCCTAAAGAGTTGCTTGTGGAATTGAGGAATTAAGTGGGTTGCCAAGGGTCAAGAAGTGAGTATGGGTAAGAGGTGATGCCCTAACTTCCAACTTCGGTGGGAAAATCCTACTGAAAAAACAGTAAGTAGCATGTGCCAGGCAAGTCACCACCACCATCACTTTGACCATCAACCCCCCTCAGAACCCAATGGAGATAGCACAGGACTCTGAATGCAAGAATCCTGGGAATAGCACGGTTTCTAGGTCATCCTGGGGAAGTAATCCTTGTAACAAAAAAGAATGGCCACTATTCCTGCAGATGCTAGAGCCACAGCTACTGAACACCCAGAGAAGAAACTCCTCTTTCACCAAATCTTATTACCAAAATGGTTTAATTTCAGAAATATAGGTGATTTATCGTGGAAAAAAACATTAAAGAAAAGACATTACCACCCGATTTTCCACTGTACCCAAAGGGCCATAGGATCCTTCCATGACTTGTGTTGTCTCCCCAGTAAGAGCTTCTTGGGAGCGAGGACAAATTTTCCTTTTCGTATAGTAAGCGCTTTAATAAATGCTTTCTTCGTTCCGCAGAACCTCATGGGCCTAAGCCATTTGTTATGGGGAAAACAGGCACCCTTTTAATCTTTGTAATGTAAATAAGTGTCTGCTCATTAATACGTTGAGTATTTTTTCCCCAACCAAGTGATTCTTCAACAGAACAGCTTATTTTAAACCTAAAAACTCAATAATTCAATGCCAGGAGCTTTAAGTCAATCATCTTCTTCGCGTCCAGAGGTTGCTCCCAAATACTCTGCAGGTCTCCAGGTATCATCAAACACTCAGCTGGTCCTTCTGAAAGTGGGGAAATGATCTCCATTTCCAATTAATCGAGGCGGGGTGGGGGTTTATATCTAACCTTCGGCAGCACAAAATTTCGGGACTTGGGCAGATTTGGCCCGGCCAATTCGTTTGGGTTTTTTTTAATTTATTTTTTATTTTTGGCTCGGCCAAATCTTGAAGGGGCTTGAAAGGGCGGGCGAGGCTGGTGCCGGAGACAAAGGGAAGAAAGGTCTCCCTGCCCGAGAGCGGCACGAGATACACGGGGAGCAAATGCAAGGGCTGCGGGGAGGTGAGCTCGGCCCGCTCCCCCGGAGCCAGCCCAGAGCACGCAGGTCCCGCTTCCGGGTCAGGGGCGGGTGAGCCAAGCAGTTCCGGGGCGGGCTGCGGTTCCGGCGCTGTGCGGGCCCGCCGCGGATGCTGGGTCCGGGCGAGCGGCGCTGAGGGGGGGTGGGGGGAAGGAGGAGGAGACGGGGGCGGGCTCGAGGAGGCGGCGGCGCGGGAGGCGGCCCCCGGCGGGCGGCAGCGGCGGCGGCGGCGGCAGCGGCGGCGGCGGCGGCGGCCCATGGGGCGGGTGGCGTGAGGCCTCGGCGAGTCCTGGGGCCGGGGGGAGGGGGGGGGGGAGTGGGGACGGGGAGATGGATAAACTGACCATCATCTCAGGATGTCTCTTTTTGGCCGCGGATATCTTCGCCATCGCCAGCATCGCCAACCCCGACTGGATCAACACCGGGGAGTCCGCCGGTGAGCGGGCAGGGGGCGGGGCAGCGGGCCGGGCCGGGGTGCGGGGAGTGCGGAGGAGAGAGAGCTGAGGAGACACTGGGGCTGAGGAGGGGAGAGAAGGGGGCTGAGGAGAAGAGAGATCAGAAGGAGAAACTGGGGGTGAGGAGGATGAGGAAGGGACACTGAGGAATGAGGGGGAGAAGACTGGTGCTGAAAAGGATAATGAGATCAGGAAGGTGCATCCTGGGCTGTGGAGGAGAAAGATCAGGAAGGGACGGACACTGGAGCTGAGGAGGAAAAAGAGGGGAGGACACCGGGACTGAGGAGGAGAGAGAACGGGGGAGGGGGCACTGGAGCTGAAGAGGAGAGAGATCAGAAGGGGACCCTAGGGTGAGGAGGAGAATGATAAGACACCAGAGCTGAGCAGGGGGAAGAATCAGGGACCGAGGAGAACAGTGAGGAGGGCTGAGGAGAATGAAGGGGAGAGACTGAGCTGGATAAGAAAAGGAGGAGAGCATACCAGGGCCGAGGAGGAGAATGAGGAGAGACTAGGACTAAGGAAAAGTGATGGACATTTAATGGAGGAAGAATGTGGTGAGCAGGGGACCTCAGTGAGGACTTGACTTATCTAGAGACAGAGAGGACCTGGATGGAGGAGGGAGGAAAGAGGAGGTGCAAAGAATCTGAAAAAGTGGGAAGTAATTGGAGATTGAAGGAAATGGGGGTGGCGGTGGGACTAGAGATCTGAAACACAGGTAAACAGGACTTTGGGTTTCTGTGATGGAGCCTGTGGAAAGGAAATCCTAAGGTCTGAAGGAGAAGGAAGTCTGTGAAGGAAGTGTAAACAGAAGGATGTGAAGGGAATTTAGGGAGAAGGGGAGGTGGGCAGGGTGATCTGAATACTTAAATATGTTTTGCCTTTCAATTGAGAGATCTGGAAAAGCAAGAGAATGAAATTAGTACAGGTGATGTGTGTAGAGAGATGTGACAGCTAGCAGTGCCTTGAAAAACAACAGGGTCCAAAACTAGAGAGGTCAGGGTTAATGTTGATTAGTAGAATTCCTTAATGATACCACACTCACCTCCCATGTGGGTTTTTTTTTGTTTATACTATTAAAATTTTAAAATCCCAAAATGTTGATATTGTTCTGAGTTATGGCAGCATATCAGAATCCTCTGCATCATCTCTACCTGCTTCTGCTTCTTGACAGATTTTGAATTACATGTAGATTGAGATTCTCCCTTTGAAGTATGTGGTTATAATTTTGTTTTTTTCTAAGCCCGAACCTCTTTTTATGGGCTATTTTTCATTCTGATATGTCACAAAAGAGATCCTGATAGTACTTAAAAAATTAAACAACACGTTAGAATTGCAAAGGTTCCTAGTAACTGCAGAGCCTGATAGAAATTTCAAGGCTCTAGGCAAGACAGTAGGTAGTCTCTGAAATGTCTCAGGTGATTCTGCGCTCAGTGTTTTCCATCCCAGCATTTGTGTGTTTGATGTTGAGAATGGATTTTTGGAAAATATTCACTTTGTTTAGCTAATAATAAGGAATAGAAGAGCTAACTAAAGTGGTTTTAATAGTGAGCTCTCTTTAAAATTGTCAGTTCAGTAGGTGTTATGGGGGATGGTGAAATATTAATCTCTAAAAATGATTAGTAAACATAAATGACTGCTTTATCAAACTTGTGAAGTGCTTCTTACTCTTCAGCAATATTTTTAGCTCTTTCAGAAATGGCAGCAGGAAGGACATTTATTGCTTCCTTGGCAGTGTACTTCACTGCTACTACCCTCTCCTCTCCGTTGGACCATGTAACTGAAAATCAGGCTATCAGATGTTTTGCTTATTGGTAGAATGCTGGTAGGATCCTGTTGGCTGTATGGCTTTAGCAAAGCTCAAAATTGCAAAATGTATGAGAAAGTATTTAAGTAGTTTGAAACAAGCATAATATCATAGTCTTTTGTGCCTGAAAATGCTTCCAGTTCATACAGTTAAACCTGAAAAGACTCGCTCACAATGTATTGTTCTTTCTGTCTTGAGTTCTGTCTCTTGTAACAACTGGGTTTGCTACTGCTTATGGGGTCTTTTGCTATTTGTAGAACTTCTCTTGGCCTCTTAAGTCCCCAGAGATACGTAAAGCAAAAGAAAGTTGTAGAAATGATTGAGAGAAAAGTTCCAGATGCTGATGATACAAATCCAAGACTTCTATTTCTAGGATTTGGGGAGAAAGTTTAACCTTATTCCAATAAAACTTTTCTTTGTTGAAGTAGTGCTTGCCTTTTTATAGAACTATATAGAATATAATCAGCAATCATCCACTTCGCAATTGCAATCTTTAGAATCCCAGTTTCAGAAATAAAGCCTTATCAAAAAATTATATTCTCAGAAGGACAAAACTGGTGACTAATAAAAATTAGCACATCTCTAAAAGGCACTGGCCTCTGTAGTTCCATAGTATCATTGAGTAATTAAAAAGTGAAATTTAAAGTGTTGGTAGACATTGTTGGAAATAAGGCACTATCAGGGAGAATAAGCCCAGGCCTAAAATTAGTATAGGATAAGGCTGTAGGTATTGAAGCCATGATTTTATTGGTGTGAGCAGTGGTTCTCAAACTTTTTGGTCTCAGGACCCTGTTAGAGTTTTAAAAATTATTGAGGAACCCTCCCCCAAAGAGCTTTTGTTAATGTGGGTTGTATCTATGGATATTTATTGTATTAGAAATGAAAATGTCTTAGTATTATTTTGAAAATGGTTTTGACCTCACAGTCTCCCTGCAAGGGAGTTTCTGGAGCACATTTTCAGAAACACTGGTGAGTTGAGCCATGGTTTGAGTTCCCACTGAAGAACTTCCTATACCAGTGCAACTTGTAGTTCCTAGTGACCTGCCTAGAGGTTAAGTGACCTACCCAGAGTCCCATAGCCATCATTGTTATGAGGAAGATAAATTTGTAACTCTCAATCATGACAATACTGCCATAGTTTGGAACAGTAGTTAAGTTGAGCTAAGGCAAATGTGGTTTAAAACATCATGAAAAGACAGGTAGATCGGCTTCCCAAAATTCAGATTATTATTGTAAGAATGTGAACTGTCTCATAGACTTACTTCTGTAGGTTTTGTGTGTTTGTTCTGTTGTCTTCTTAACACTGCAGAGACACAGGAAATTCATCCCTCCAAGCCATGTTTATTGTTTTACACAAAAAGGAAAATGAAATAACATCTTTGGGAGCTCAGAGTTGACTGAAGATATCATATTGTATTAACATATGGATTGATTTAAAGAGATTTCAAGATGTAATCAAACCAAGAGATTAATTTTTTTTAAGGCAGTTGGGGTTAAGTGACTTGCCCAGGGTCACACAGCTAGTAAGTGTGAAGTGTTTGGTCTGAGGCTGGATTTGGACTCAGGTCCTCCTGACTTGCTGCCCCACCAAGAGATTAAGTTTTAAATAGTATATGTAGAAGAATATTTTTTAAGTGAACATTTAATAGTTTAATTGATAGTTCAATGAAATTTAATAAGTAGTTCAATGAAAACCTAGGTGGGATTTTAAAATTTTAATAGTACAAACAAAAAAAACCCCATGTGGGAGGTGAGTGTGGTATCATTAAGGAACTCTACTATACTGGTTAATTTTTGGTTATTAATGTTGATTACTGATTATAAACAGTTTTTAAAAATCACATTTCCCTTCCTTCATTCTTCTTAGTTTACTTTTTGTATCTGCCTAGACTGAGAAGAATCATTTTCACATTTTGTTTCTTGTGTGCTGATGATACAAATGTAAGACTTCTGTTTCTAGGATTTGGGGAGAAAATTTAATCTTGTTCCAATAAAACCTTTCTTTGTTGAAATAGTGTTTGCCTTTATTGTTTTTTAGATTAGTAAAACAGCTTTCAGTGGAAGAGGGAAGTTTTAGGTGCCAGTCCTAAAATTATTTCATCCCTTACTTTATTTATACAGTAATTCTTCTTGTCTTTAAAGAAACACATTGTTACTCGAGGAATCGTTTTGAAGTTTAAAGAGTTAATTTTTGTAAAGTGGTGAGCTCAGTAAAATGGCTTTTGGTGATCAAAAACCTGCTCAGTTTTTAAAGGAATCCTTTATTGAAGGATTCCTTTTCATAGGGGGAATTCAGTAGCCATCTTTTGGCAGGACTATACCATCAATAAACCTTCCTTGAGCAAATGGGATCTTCTCAGGAAGAGTCCACAGCTTTCCCCAGGAGACTACTGCAGTGAGTGCAGGGAGGAGTTCTTTATGTCTAGTCAGAATTTTTCTTCTAATAATTGAAAGCCATTTTTTTTTGCATCATTATAATTTTCCCAACAAAATCCTTCATATCATCTTCCCTCCTAAAACAACAAGCATTTACTAAGTGTTTACCATGTGTAAAGGCACTGTGCTAAGCCCTGGGCATACAATGTGGAAAGGCAAAAATATGGTCCCTGCCCAAAGGGTGCTCACAATGGAAGGGTAAAACACACTTAAGTATTCAGGCAAGGACATCTTACCTACTTCCCCTTCTCCTCTTATCCCCGTAACAACCTCCTGTTGTACTTCCTTCACAAACTTCCTTGCCATTCCTCAGACCCCAGGATTTCTTCTCAACAGACCCCCTCACTGAAATGCAGAGTCCTGTTTACCTGTGTTTCAGATCTCTAGAATATATTTTGTCTGTACATAGCAAATTGGAGATAATCTTCGAGAGAAGAAAGTAGCAATTGGGGGACTGAAAAAGTCTGTAGAAGGTGGAATTTGAGCTGAGATTTGAGGGAAGCTTGGAGGCTAATATGAAGGAGAGAGATGATTCCAGGCATGAGAACAGCTGATGAAAAGTCATGGAGGCAGGAGATGGAGTGCTGTATGCAAGTTACAGCAAGACAGCCACTATTGCTGGATCTTAGAGTATGTTGAAAGAAGTGTGGTGTAAAAAGAGTGAAAAGGTAGGAAAGGGCCAGATTTTTAAGAGCTTTAAAAGCCAAATAGAGGATTTTATATTTGAACCTAAAGGTAATA